ATAACATAACATTTACGGGCGATGGAGGGGGAACCAATTACCCATCGTGATTTACAATAGGGCCTTGCCCACAGTATTGTATTGGTCTTGCGGGGCGAAAAATTGTGCCGTTCTACGGGAGAGCGATCACATCGAATGATGCATTTTTCACTCCTATATCGAAAAGATCACATCCCATTTCAAGCGGTAAGAGCACTTTGCTGGGGTGGCCTTACCTGTTAGAAACGGCCTGGTGTCTTGCCATTCCATCTGCGCATTGTTGGTCGAACCTCGGGATCATAGGTTGAGGCTTGGGACTTCCAACGTTATGAGGAGAGCCCAGCAAAGTTGAGTGTTGAATCACAGAATGTTTCACAGCTCTGAGCGGGCTATTTGGCCCATCAATTTTCAGCCGTTGTTCCTCTCTATATGAGCCCACCTGAGGCTAATTCCCACTCTCCTGCTGATTCCCAATACTCTCTTTTTTCATTAAGAATGACCGATGAGCGGTAATGATGTCATTTGGTTACTCGAACTGTTTGTGGAGCACAGTGGTGCGCAATTAGCTGCCGCATTTTGCCCACAAAATACCCCACTTTATAATAATAATAATAATCCTTGCATTTGATATAGCGCTTTTCATGTCTTCTAGATATCTCAAAGCGCTTCACAGAATATGCTGTAAAGTGAATTGACTGAAGTCTGGCAGAACCATTGAAAAATAAGAACATAAGAATTTGCTGGCAAATGAAGAACAAATTCCATCTATTTCACCTTCCACTATCCTGGTAGTCGCTTGACATGCTGTGTCCCAAAATATGCACTGTATCCCATATAGCGTATAAAATAAGGTAGTATTGATATAAAATATCGTCATGGGAGAAAAATGAGTGGGTTAGATTTTGTGCCAGGATAGATTGTAGATTTTGAGGAAAGAGATAACAGGGTGAGCCGAATGACTTTTCTCATATGATGCCGTCTTATATTCGAAAATACTGCGCTTTTGAAGAGCTGAAACTATGGAATTATGACTTCAGAGCAATTAGAATTTGCTAGCGAATCAATAGTCCGTGCAAGATTAATCTGTGGGCTTCAATTCTAATGTACACCGAATACCAGTCCGTCATTTCCGGCTGTATTATTCCCCGCTAACGCTTCAGCATTTCTGGAATGCATATTATATGCTCGTGAATTTAGAAAATGTGTGCGTAAGCCACATATCCGAAAGATTTATATTTTGATTATCTCCTGAATAGAGAAGCAGATTCCGGTGTCAAATAGGCTAGTAATAATTCTACAACAGTTTCTGTATCAACTTTTTTTCATTTCATATCTAAGTTTTCCTACTCTACATAAACAGATTGCACACCTAAACTATATTTTCCAATTTGTATATGGAATTTAGCTTATAGGCAGAAATAAAATAATACTCTCTATAGATATAGTTTCCTTACTCCACACGCCTAATAGTAATCCCTCCAACACAAAACAATAATAAATTGGTCATTTTCAATTCACGACTGTTTGTGGGACACTGCTGTGCGCAATTGGCTGCCGCGTTTCGCCCACAAATATACGGTCAATTCACTTTAAAGTCTATTCTGTGAAGCGCTTTGAGACGTCGAGAAGACATGATAAGCGCTATATCAAATGCAAGGATTATTATGATTATCTCTGCATAATTACTCTGCACTTGTCCTCTGGTGGGGGAATCCTGAACAAAGAGGGCATTATCTTATACTTAGAGACAGGCCATTTAGGAGTGAAATCAGGAGGCAGTTTTTCACCCAAAGGCCAGTGGAAACCTGGGACTCTCCCTCCAAAAGTCTGTGGATGGTGGATCCATTCACATCTTCAAGACTGAGATATTTGTTATGTCAGGGAATCAAGGATATGGGGTAAGGGCAGATAATTGGAGTTGAGGTACAGATCATCTATGATCTTACAGAAGTGCGGAACAGCCTCTAGGGGCTGAATGGCCTCCTCCTGTTTCAATGCCTGAATATGAAATGACTGTTTTTAAACCGGTAACACAGTAATATGAAAGTTGTTTGCTGAACGCAAGAAGCAAAAAGAAAATTGAGAATTATTCATTTTGCAGAAGCTGTTGTGGATCTGGCAACAGAGCACTCGTTTATATTGGTCTTGCAAGATCTTGGGAGCTCGTTGTTCGACACGTACAGCACAGACCTAATAGACCAAGATCAATGTGCTCTTCTCTAAGTGGTCCTTATACATCAGCTTTCAATTTGAGTAAGGTTTAAAGATATCAAAGCAGTGGTTGCTGTACAATGTAGCCTGAAGCTGGCTAACCGTATCAATCCATGCCATCTGTTAATTAGGACCTATTTGATGTAATGCGGTAAAAATATGGGCTGTAGAACAAATGACTCCAGCCACAGATTGACCGATATAATTACCAAAACAGCAGGCTAAATTCATTCCTTGTTTATCTGGTTAATCAAAATAAAAGGAATTGGTGGTAAGAAGTCTACCTACCTTATCTCATTATGCTGTTGTTTCCTTGCTTTGAACTCCAGTTACTCAGTAACTATTTTCGAGCTGCTTTTGCATAAAACATTATCTTGTGTTTCTCAACAGAGATAGATTACTCACCAAGGGTTAATCCTGATTGCCCGGATAAGTTTCCTCCACAACAACAACAAAATTATATTTGTATAGCAATATACACAAACCTTAGCCCAGTCAGTGACCTAAGGAGGAGATGTGAACCTCCCTAACTTCAATGGAGAAAGATCACAGGCTAAGGATTGCAAGAGTTACAAATGAAGAAAACCCTTTGGCCAATTTGATCTTATCCTCCCGGATTTGCCACCTTACCATCTTGATGTTACAGCATCAAGGAGTTTCTTATATGTCTAGAGTGCTGGCCATTTGATGAGTTTGGAGGGTAAAGACATTTATGCAGTTGGGCACACACTGCTGAAACAATGATTATTACATTTTATTAATAATAATAATCCTTGCGTTTGGTATAGCGCCTTATCATGTCTTTTGAGAGACCTCAAAGCGCTTCACAGAATATATTGTAAAGTGTAGAGACTGTGAGCTTTGTGCCAGCAGCCAATTGTGCGCAGCAGTGTCCCACAAATACTCGTGGATTGATTGATGTAACCAAATTAGTCAAATTAAGTGTTGAGGTCAATGTCAGAAGTTGTAAAGCCAACATGCAGGTGTCCGGGGGCGAGGGAGCAGACAGCCTGGGGCGGTCAATTATTGTTTCTTAGCTCAGTGCTGGAGTTGGAATAGTAAATTTTAATTAACAATTAACAAGGGGAAATGAGACATCTGACCCAGGGATACAGTGTTCTGCCAGCAAAGGCAGAAGATCGTTGCTAAAGAGAAGGCACACAGGAGACCATGTTTCAGCAAGACCAAATAGTTTGTTTCACAAGAGTCATCCATCAAATTTGTGATTTATTTTGCTTGGCAGTAAAAGAGCACTGCCTACAACAGAGGGTCATTGAGAGGGCCTGGGCACTCAACAAGGTTCTAACATTCAGAAATCCAGGGAAACATTTACTATATGCTATTTTAACTCATCAATATAAGCCTGCACTTACAAAATACAACTTAATTTCTCTCCCACCGTACTTTACCCTCCCTCAGCTCCATCCCCCAAAATAACCCTCAAATGGTCAGAATAAAAATAATCACTTTGACAAGGAAGCTTTGGTCAGTGCTGTATATTTATTTATGTTTTATAAAGAATTAACAGAGTAATGTGCAATGAAGTCTTTCATAATAGGCTTGCCAAAGGCATTTAGTGAAGGCTTAAAACAAGCACTTATTCTGACTTAATTTGTGGTACTGGATGGATGTCAAGCTTCAAATATTGGTTCTGCAAATTGAGGGCAATTCTAAATCAATTAAGGCAAATATCCTCATTTCTCAAAGTAATGCTCTTGGAGGCGAGTTAAGGCAGTAATTGTAAGGAAGAGGCATCACAATTCCAAATCATTCACTTACAGCAGTCTGTGAAACGCCTTGAGACATCTAGAAGATGTGAAAAGCACTAGATGAAATGCAAGGATTATTAATTATTAATATAAAAGGCATGGACGACTGTTAACTGAAATTAGTAACTTACTATGAGGATCATGTTCTATTATCCCTGTGGGATTCATTATATATTACATTAGAATATACAGCACAGAAATAGGCCATTCGGCCCAACTGGTCTTTGCCGGTGTTTATGCTCCACATGAGCTTCCTCCTGCCCTTCCTCAACTAAGCCTTCAAGCAGAACCTTCTATGTTATAGAATATTACAGCACAGAAGGAGGCCATTCGGCCCATCGTGCTTGCGCTGGCTCTTTGGAAGAGCTGCCGAATCAGTCCCACTCCCCCGCTCTTTCCCCATAACCTTGCAATTTTTTCCTTTTTTACTACCTCTCCAATTCCCTTTTAAAGTTGTTATTGAATCGTTTCCACCAGCCTTTCAGGCAGTTCCAGACCACAATAACTCTCTGGGTAAAAAAAAAATTCTCATCTCCCGTTTTTTTTGCCAATTATCTTAAATCTATGTCCCCTGGTAACCAATCCACCTGTCATTGAGAGCACCCTAGACTACAGTGGAGTCCTGTAGCTCAGTGGTTAGAGCACTCGCTTTGCAAGTGAGAGACCTGAGTTCAATTCCAGGCAGAGGGCGAAACCTTGGGCAAGTTTCCTTACTCCACACAGAGCCTAATAATAATCCCTCCAAAAACCAAAAACAATAATAAATTGGTCATTTTCAATTGGCTGCTGCGTTCGCCCACAAATATACAGTCAGTTCACTTTACAGTGTGTTCTGTGAAGCGATTTGGGACGTCCTCCCGACGTGAAAAGCGCTATATCAAATGCAAGGATTATTATTAAACCCTAATTGGCAACACTGAATAATTGTTTCATAGTTTTATAAAATTAAAAATGACCTCATGGCAAGACTTCACTCTAGATCAGTAAATGCATCTCTATATAACTACAATTTCATAGCACAGAAAGAATGCAGACTAGGCATTATGGCAACTTCTCTCATCTTTATTTTTATCAATTAATAAGTTCAAAACTTATTTTACTTCATTTTTATTAAAAGATCTATGGCAGCATTTATAAATAGATTATAATCTAAATCATATACAATCTGCTTTATGTAAAAAAATCAACAACGTTGTAACATCAAGTCACAAGAGATATATGACTGATTTACTTAAAATCCAAACACATTTTATGCAGGACTTTGCAAATCGCTCTCTCACTCTCACATTAAATAACAGAAAACTCAAGGTTTTCTCAATTGGTTCTCTCACTTTGCTATATTTTATTTCTATATAACATTCAGGAATAATACCAATATATTGCCCAAGTTTTCTCAGAAAGAAATTGCACTTTCAGCTAATTGTTCAGAAAAAGGCGCTGAACAAACAGCTCATTTCTAATCCTCAGGGTACATTCAAAATGTCTCAAGATAAAAACAAAGAATAAAATCAAAACAGCACAAAGCATAAAGCTTCTTACAGTAAGATTTACTTCAACTCATCCAAATGGAACACTTGTGCCAGCTTCCTTAGCCTTTATAGCAAAGGCTGACTCAAGTCAGGACAAGTAATCTTCCTCTCAGCCGCTTCAATCATCCAGTCTCTAAATATTCTTTCCATTAGATTTCTCTCTTCCCGGTTTCCATTGTTAACGGTAGGAATTATTTTAACCGGCTGCAGCCATTGGACAAATTTTTTCATCTCAAGATAGCTGCTATGTTCACTGTAAGGAATACCTGCAACAGATTATTTATTGGTTAGAAATTTAAAATACTGTATTACAATGTTCCACAACATCAGATTTCCCCCCAACATTTTAATAATAATACTTGCATTTGACATAGTGCCTTATCAGGTCTTCCAAACATCTCAAAGCGCTTCACAGAATATACCGTAAAGTGTGGTGACTGTATATTTTGTGAGCAAAATGCAGCAGTCAATTGCGCACAAACCCGGTGTCCCACAAACAGCCGTGGATTGGGTGACTAAAATTATTATTAATATTATTTTACTTTCAAGATGGGAGCACAAAACCATGATCAAAAACAATCCCGTTTGTACTTGTGTGTATTCACAGTTGACTGAATTGAGATTTTTTTTTAAATAAGGTGGGGGGACAAGGGATGGGGGGGAAATAAGAGAAAGCCAACTCACTTAAGTCAGTTGTGAGGTTTGATGGCCAGATGTGATTATTTTCCTCCCCAAAAAGAAACGAGGCAAAAATTGCAAATGGCTACTGACATTCATTCACCTACCATATATGGTGATCTTTCCTCGGATTTGAGGCTTGATATCTAATAGTGCGACACTCTGACCGCAGTATGTCCACCCAGTTGGTTTGAATGCCAAAATCTTGTCATACTTTCCTGGAAACTTACTTATGTGAGCTTGTAAACCCTAAAAAGCAAAATATTATTTGCGGTTCCTTCGCAAAAAAAGTCAAAGTGCTCAAACAAAAACTTCCCAAGTGCCAGGTCATTTTGATACAGTTAAACAATTACAAATTCCCCCAATCTACTATTATATCTGAATATAATAATAATAATCGTTGCATTTGATACAGCGCCTTATCACGTCTTCGAGACGTCTCAAACCGCTTCACAGATTATACTGTGAAGTAAACTGACTGTATATTTTGTGGGCAAAACACGGCAGCCAATTGTGCACAGCAGTGTCTCACACACAGTCATGGACTGACTGACCCAATTTGGTTTTAAGGTATTATTTAATTTGTTTATGTAGTTAAGCAAATACATACATCAGTGTTACACCTTGTTAAATGGGTTACTGGCACAATGATGGTATGTAATCAAATATTGCCATCTACACCTAATAACCATGACCTACTAAAATAATCCTTGCATTTGATATAGTGCTTTATGACTTCAAGTCTCAAAGCGCTTCAGAGAATTTTTGTAAAGTGTAGTGACTATCTGTAGGTGAACATGGTAGCCAATTTGCACACAGCAAATCAAATTATCTCTCTCTCAACCGAGGCCTGCTAGCAATTAGTTTAGAAAGGGTTATTACTACAATATTTATAGCACACTCTGTTCTCCCTAGAACAGCTGCTCTTTAAAATCAAGCTCAATGGAAAATGTCCTAGAACGATAAAGAAAATCAGCAGGTATTTACTGATGCAAACTTCTCAACCACACTGCATTAGAGCTAGGAAATTAACACTTAATTTCATACAATACAAATTAACTTCTACTCACATTTAAAGCCCTCCACAGACTTGCGTCCCCCCCATCTCTGCGACCTACTAAAACATTACCAACCTGTCCCCTCCCTCCCCTCGGTGGGCACCAGCCTGCTCCATGTCCTGTGCCCTGCCCGCTCCACCATCAGAGGTCGAGCCTTTAGCATTATGCCTCCATCTTTTGGAACTCCATCCTGGAGCCCCTCCACTTCACCCCCGCCTCCTTCATTGCCCATCTCAAGACCTTCTTCTTTGACCGTGCTTTCGGTCATCCTCCCACCCTCACCTCCATTGCTCTTTCTTTCGACTCGCAATAACAATACACAAAATATATACAAAGCAAAAAAAAAAATTAAATAGGTGGAACAATGAAAGTAAAGTGGTACCAGGCTTGAGATTTTTGGAAGAGTTTTTGATTTCAACACAATCAGGATGCTGAGGAGAGAAAGAGCATGCTGGCCAAGATATCTGGAAGGATTAAGAAAGTTCAGCAGCACATTGACCGTAAAAGTATAATAAGCAGAGAAAGGCGTGCAATTGAATGAGAGCAAAGAGTTGGAGGCAAGATAAGAAACTTCAAAGGTAAGCTGGTCTAACAGGTGAATTATTATTGTGATTTTAAAGAGCTCCAATTAGTAATAATAATATTACATATATTCCAACACATAATATTCCAACTAATTAGTTGCTGCAAATAGCCACCGCAGGAAATCACAAACTTAGGAAGTATATAGAGGATTTCCCGTAGAGACGATGAACAATTAAGATTCTTTCGTGTGAAAAAGTTCAAATAACTTTAACAAGCTTCTATCACGAGTGAGGAGTCATCGGTATCACGAGCGACTGGTTATTTCTATCTCGTCGGTTTAGAGTCATTTCCAATTGAGACCTTCTCTAATAACATGTGATGAGTACTATAACAAGACACTAAATATAGTCAATTCCTTTTACAGTATATTCTGTGAAACGCTTTGAGACATCTCGATGACGTGATAAGGCACTGTATCAAATACAAGGATTATTATTATTACTAATGTGTTTATAAAGTTGTTTGATTTCTTTGTAATAGTGATTTTGTAACCCTGAACAGTCAAGGGTTTTAATGCAGGAGAGAAAAAAAAATCAGGGATCAGGGAACAGTTATTCCTTTTTGCAATAAAAAAAAGAAAAACAAGTTCAGATAGCGATAAAAGGCTTGCTGTTTATTCAATGAAATCTGACAAGAAGGATAGCAGCCGTTATGCATTGGATAACTTCACTTTGTTCGTCTCTCTCTTTGAAAAAAACATCTGATATTAAGGTGCTGATTGATGATCATCATAAATCTAATGGTAACAGTAACAAGAGATATTCATTCCAATGGGTAAATAAATAGAAAGTTAAATAGGGACAAGGAACATAATTGGACATCATGTCCTGCTCTCAAATGACAGTGAGCCACAATTCATTGTCAAGGCTCAGGAATAACGTCAAATTGGGCAAAGCACTCATTGATCCGGACTCCAGCAGAACAAAAAGAATGTTCAAAGATTCGGACACACAACCTGAACTCAAACGCATGCCATTTCTGTTCTCCAATACACAGCAAAATATCAGGATCAACAGGCAAACAAATGCCACAGAAATAAAATTTGACCAACTTAGTTATTCAATTTATAATTATTTGCGTATAAAGTTTCTGATAGCTGAGTATTGAAAGAAAAAGGATATGTTTGCATGTTTTTTTCTACGTGATGTTTGGTGAAGTTATGTTTTGCACATTGCATATTTTGCTGAATGCTGAGTTCATCAAGTGGCTGACAGCTAAAATGATCAACAGGCCATTCATCGATAAACTCAACAAGCCAGAGGTAGAGCAACCACAGCACGTTGGCAAGCCAGATAATAATACTTGCGTTTGATATCGCACCTTATCACGCCTTCGAGACATTTCAAAGCACTTCACAGAATACACTGTAAAGTGAATTGACTGTATATTTTGTGGGTGAAATGTGGCAGCCAATTGTGCACAGCAGCGTCCCACAAACAGTCGTGGATAGAGCGACCAAATTATTATTTTTTTTAAAAAAAACTTGTCCTGCCCGGGAATTGAAACCAGGTCCTCTCACTTGCGAGGCGAGTGCTCTAACCACTGAGCTACCGGACTCCACACATCAACTAAAGCAGAGTGCAACTCACCTTAAAATTAATTTGCATCATCGGTAGTAAATGAAATTGTGAGCTTTCCCAGTCTACAGTGATAGCAGAGTTCACTTGCTCAGATTCCAAACACTGCAGAATAGCTAGTTTATCTCGGGACACACAGACCTTAAATCCCAGAACATCAGCGATAGCTTAAAAAAAAGCAACACATTGTTAGAAGCCTGCTTTCATTGTTTCATTTAAGTATTCCCAATACAATCCTGCTATTTCTGCTTTGGGCTTCCAAATAAAACTAATAAATATCACACCTTATGTTGAAACATCTCAAAGCACTTCAGAAATGTTTCTGTAAAGTACTGTGGCTGTTAATTTTTAGCCAGAAGGTGGTTTGCATACAGCAAAATCCCACAAAGCAATAGATCGAAGAACTAATTTTTTTTTAAAAAATCATGAGGATTGTTGGTCGTGCCTTTTGACACCTCACTTCTCTTTTCAAATAATAATAATCCTTGCATTTGATATAGCGCTTTTCACGTCTTCCAGACATCTCAAAGCGCTTCAGAATATACTGTAAAGTGAATTGACCATACATTTGTGGACGATTATGCCATAGAATCCTCTACATCCACCTGTTAAAAGGTCCAACAGGGCTTGAACACACAAGCTTCCGACTCAGACATGAGAATGTTACCAACTGTGTCACGCTGACACCAAATAATGCCAATGGCTTACTGGGAATTAGATTCACATGACACAATTATTTGGGGAGGACAAGTTTGCAGGGCTATGGGGAGAGTGTGATTGATTTGCATAGATCTTTTCAAAGAGCTGGCACAGACACGATGGGCCGAATGGCCTCCTTCTGTGCTGTATAATTCTACGATTCTATGAATTGCTAAAAATACTGTATGTTAATAAAAATACTTGCATTTGACATACTGCCAAAGGAAAGATCTAAAATGCTCCACTTTTGAAGTGTAGTTGATATGTAGATAAGTTTGGCAACAATGAGATTAGATGACTAAGATATTTTGGAGCATTTGGATGGACAACAAATTATATTTTTATAGCACCTTTCACGTCGGGAGGACGTCCCAACGCCACCTTGTTCTTCAGATAAATAAAATGATGGAACACAAGTGAATAGTGTTTCAATTGAATTCCCTCAGAAATATCTGTAATAATTCTGGGAGAGAAGGATTTTAAATGTAGAATTTGCCTTTAAATCACATTTGCTACTTGCATTCAAATACAAGGTTGTTAATTCAGCTTTTTAAATATTTAGATTGCAGTGACTATTTCTCAATTCATACAGAAGATTTTACCTAGAAATATTTTCTCTTTCCCAATTGAATAGGTGCCACAGACAATCAGTGTCCTAGGATTCAACGTCACAGCTTCAAAAGCAACACTAGCAGCAAACTGGATGGTTTGTTGCTGAGATGGAAAATCATACTCTGGACTGCAGTACCTGTCAAACAGAAAAACAGCAGCACACAGGTTTTTCTAATTAGTAAGAATCTGTCAGTGCTGCATGTCACACAATATTCGAGTGTGTACACACTCAGCAATTCATACTTAGTGTAAAAATTCAATCAAAACTTACATTAAGATTACTATATAATCCTTGCATTTGATACAGTACCTTATCACGTCTTCGAGACGTCTCAAAGCGCTTCACAGAATATACTGTAAAGTGAACTGACTGTATATTTTGTAGGTGAAACACGGCAGCCAATTGGGTACAGCAATGTCCCACAAACAGTCGTGGATTAAGTGACCAAATTATTATTTTTTATATACTTCTTTGCTGCAAGGATTCCAAGTGAAATACAGAATGTTATGCAAACATACTGCTCTTCTGAGAGCACAGAATAAAACATTTCTTACGTGGTATCCAAATACAGAGTGTGAACTTTCTGTCCCAGGAGATGAGGGTAGCGCTCCATAGAGGTTTGTGCTCGGAAATCACCGGTGTGCAATAGGAGCTTACCACTCGCAAGTTGGAACAGCAGCATGACAGCACCCGGGCAGCTGTAGAACAAATATTTACTCACACTTCATCTAAAGTTTTTAATGGTCTGAATTGCAACAACAACAATTTGGATTTATATAGCGCCCTCCTCACCGGACAGCATCTCAGAGCGCTTCACAGTAAGGGATCCCGGGGCCGAGCCAGGGGGAGGGGGGAGGAAGGTGACCAAAGGCACTGTCGAAAAGAAAGGTCTTCAACGGAGACCTGAAAATAGGAAGAGAGGGGAGTAAGGCGAAGGGAGTGAGGAAACGAGTTCCAGAGCCTCGGGGCATAGTGGCTGAAGGCACGGCCGCTGAGGGTGGAGTGGAGGACTCGGGGGACACGGAGGAGGCCAGACCCAGAGGAACAAAGGCAACAGGCACTGTTTTGAGGAGAGAGGTCAGAGGGTGCAGAGGAGTGGAGGGATTTGAAGACAAGGGTGAGGATCTTGAAGTCGATCCTCTCTGGGACAGGCAGTCAGTGCAGTCTGGCCAGGACTGGGGTGATCGGGGACCAGAGTTTGGTGCGGGTGAAAATGCGGAAGAGTTTTGAATAATCTGGATTTTATGGATGGCAGTGGAGGGGAGGCCGGCGAGGAGGGCGTTAGAATAGTCCAGCTGAGAGGTGACAAAGGCATGGACCAGGGCTTCAGCGGCTTTCGGAGAGAAGGTTTGGCGGAGACGGGCGATGCGTCGGAGGTGGAAGAAGGTGGTGCTGGTGAGGGACCGGATGCGGGGGGAGGAAGGCTAATTGGGGGTCGAACCATGCAATAGTTAATCAATAAAGTAATTAAATATTTTTACAGCCAATTAAATCAGCCTATTAACCAGATTATTCAAATTTCATCATCTTAAATATATATATATATATATATACACACACACAGAATCTTCCCAATAATATGATGAGCAATTAACAATAAGCAATACGCATTTGGTACAATAATGATCTGCTTAATGCCAACGAAAGCAAATATTAAGCAGATTATTATTGTACCAAATGTAATGACCTTAAAGGATTTGGCACAACGTAGAAAAAACACATCACTCTTCCTCGTGATATAAGATTCACTTGGATAACATTCTATTTTAGGGCTTAGCGATGGAAGAGTTTGCTTACCTACATTCAATAACACCCTCTCTTGCACAAGGATGCAATGGTCTCTGCGTTTTGATCCAATAGTAATAAACACTTACTGATTTGCTTCCAGAAGCACAACCTTAACTCCATCCACGATACACTCAGTGTTCATCGGTATTGTTTTAATGTATTCATCCTCCACTCGAAGTTTACATCTCACCAAATTGCCAGTAATCTGAATTTAATGAGGGGAGGGGAGAAAAATAAATAATCTGTATCAAACATCATCTGCCTATGCTGCAAAACTTTCCCCACCATCTGTAATGTTTTACTGTTTTGATAATAATAATAATCCTTGCATTTTATATAGAGCCTGATCATGTCTTTGACGCGTCTCAAAGCGCTTCACAGGATATACCATAAAGTGAATTGACTGTATATTTTGTGGGCAAAATGCAGCAGCCAGTTGCGCACAGCAGTGTCTCACAAACAGTCATGGATTAAGTGATCAAATTATTATTATTTTTTTATTTTATCTTTTTTAAAGGATTATTATCCCCAGAAAAGCAATCCACCAATTGACTAACAACCAGGTTCCCAGTTACTGCTGGTAAACAGAGGCATGTGGAGCAAGGAAACTTGCCTGGGAATCAAACCCAGCTCCATTCACTTGCGAGGCGAGTGCTCTAACCATTGAGCTGCAGAACTTAATGTGTTTTGAGTACAATGCGTATGATCAGCTAACATTGCTCTAAGGAATGGAATCTCTAAGGATGCATTAAACCTGCATTCACTTTCAGGCAATTATAACCAAAAGGAGAAACAAACCGAATTGCCATAAAATACAGTATGTATTGGAACAATAAAATCATATTTGGAATGCACTCAAGATACACTCTTTAAGCGCAATGATTTTTTAATAATAAAACCCATCAATTTCAAATGTGAAGCAACATTTCAGAAATGACCAGTTTAGGAGTGGGGGGGAGTGGGGGCAGGATTGATTGGGTAGCTCTTCCAAAGAGCCGGCACAATGGGCCAAATAGCCTTCTTCTGTGCTAGAAGATTCTCTGATTTTAGAACGCTAAATCGTAACCGACATGGGACAAAAATCCCAGCATAAGTTTCATATATAATCCATGGTATTTGTAATGCATTGGTAGTGCTAAATAAACATCACCATTCTGAAAGGAATACAGTGCAAGTTGGAGGGGAAGTTGTGCAGTGCCCCCTGGTGGCCCTGGAGGACTCATGGCATTACCTTCACGCTGGATATGGAGCCGCTACGCTCTATTACCTTGGAGTGATGATCGTTCAGTTGACTTTACTTACCTTGCTGCAGTAGATAGGACATTTGAATTTCTTGGTAAGGCCTCTGTAATGATCTGAATGAAAGTGGGTAAGGAAGTAAGAAGTACAACCCTCAATAACTCCATAGCAGAAGGCATCCACAGTAAAATAGGTTCCTGAGGGTACAAAAAACAATTAATATAGATCATGCACAATAGTTACTGAATCATTTTTTCACAATGGCAAATAACCATAAAATGGACACCAGTGTATCAAATCCACAAGTGTATTGCAATGCAATTACTATTTATGTAGCGCCGTTTACATCAGGACAACATCTCAGAACATTTGTATCAGGATGGACACTTGCTCTTTTAAGAGAATAAAGTCTTTCTATGGTGGTGTGTGCCCTTTCTATTACTGTTGCAATAAGTAGCTTACCTGGAATTTTCTTGTAAAAAGGACACGGTTTCTTTGTAGTTCCGTTTTCATGCTTTTTAGTGCCATTTTCATTTTTTTCAGTTTCACTTTCATTCTTTCCAGGTGTACTCACTTCACCCTTCCATCGTTTTGACCTCCTAGATTCTCTAGTCCCTAGCTCTTTTGGGGGAATGCTACCTACAAGACCTAGAGTTTCTTCTCCATTGCCAACAGAATCTCCTGCTTTCCTCTTCCTCTGCCTTGGCCTTTTCTCATTGAAAGAAATCTCAGAGCTCAATTCTTTGGCTGCTGTCTCAGTTGTACTTTTTGCTAGCTCTTGCTCTGCCTTTGCTTTTGGTTCAAGTCCAAAGAAGACTCCAATATCCATCTGTTTTAATCCCTTGCACGCAACAGTCTTTTGGGGGATTCTGATAATGTTTCTTGCCAAAACGTTCTGAGATGCCATTTCCAAAGCCTGAGTTCTGTCCTTTTGTAATCCACCACTGTGTGAGGCAATGCCAGTAACAGAACAGGCATTTGCTTCTTTCACAGCCACAGATGAAGACAAACCTAAGGGCTGCTTATTAACTCTCAATGAAGTTCCGGCCAGAAGGCTGTAATTATCTACTTTGGCTTTATCTGTTTGGTCACGTCTCTCTAATGGAAGACGTGGAGCAGACTGGATAGATTCACCTGTTTCTTGTTTAAGTTGCATAGTTTTCAGTGAACGATCAGCATTTTTTTTAAGAGGAAGTGAACAGTCTAAATTTGAATGTGCAGGTTTAATCAAGTCTGTCTCAGATAAATGAGGTTCAAACTCATTACCTTCCTGTTTAAGTATTCCACCATCCACTGGGATGTGGGCTTGTGCTGAAAACACAGCTTTTACTTGTGTTTTAATACGCTTTAGATTTTTGTTTCGTCTCTTGGTTTGAATATTAGCACTGTCAGTGAATTGATCAGAACTATCACTGTTGCAGCCACTACTGCTATCGTCCACTTTCTTAACATGGGTTAGATCAAATCCAGCATATTTAAAATCCGGTTCCTCTTTGCTTTCATTAAGCTTTTTAAAGTCAGAAAAAATGTCCTCGTCACTCTTGCAGTCATGATTAAAGGCTTCAGTATTAAACAATCTCTTCCTTGTCAAAGAGAACCTGATCTGCCCTGGAATGTCATCATCGCTGCAAAGTGGTGAATATGAGATACTGTCCTCATCATAGTCAGCAGTTGGCACAAGGGATATAACAGAATCTTCATCTGAGCTCTTCACCTCCAATACTGTATCATTGTCTCTCCTGTCACCAAATAATCTTCCCATTTTACTTCCAAACTCTTCTTTTGTTGCCAATTGTGAAACAGTACCAGGCAATTGTTGGGTTGAATTACTATGCAGTACTGCATAAAGCGGAGATGTTTGTGATCTTGTTACATCTTGCTTTAAACCCTTTTCAGGTGACGATTTATTCCCCCTTGTACTTTGAGCTATTTTCTTACTGGAAGCTTCCTTGACGGTTTTCGTGGAAGGGGATTTTAGCAGCAGAAGGGCATTCTGATTTTTGCTTGCAGAACTGTCTTTAATGTAGACAGATGGACTGGTCTTTGAGGATTGCTGGCTGTGGTATGGGTCTGGTGAAATAATGTCTTTCAATGGACTATTGCAGAATGTGGATTCAAAGGCACTCTGGGTCATAGCTCTACTTTCAGCAAGTAGAAAATGGGAGTAACGCTTGTAGTGGCTTGGGATTGTAGTATCACAGAGCATCCCATCTGGGCATTCTGAAAAATAGTAAAATGGAGAGTTTACCGTGAGCAAAACACAAAATACTGCAGATGCTGGAAATCTGAAAACAAAAACAGAGACAGCTGTGAAAACTCAGCAGGTCAGGCAGCATCTATGGAGAAAAGAAAGTGAGTCAACATTTCGGTCCACGACCCTTTGTCAGAACTTCAGTGGACCCGAAACAATGACTCACTTTCCTCTCTCCATAGATGCTGCCTGACCTGCTGAGTGTTCCCAGCGACTTCTGTTTTTGTTTTCAGTTTAATGTGAATATTGGCTAGTTTTTCTGCTCTTATATGAGAGAAAATAGCTAGAAAATAGTAAAAAGTTAAAAAGCCCTTAAAATATTTGATTGTAGCAATTCATGATACACCGTCAGCATTTTAATCGTCAGCTTTGTACTTTTTTTATTGTTTACAAAAATGGTGAAAATCATTTTTTTTAAAAAAGGTTGCTCCTACTTTCCAAATAGAAGTTGGGAGTTAGTAAAAAGACAGAGAGCTAAGTGAAAGCTCTTAAATTAAAAATAGATTTAAAAGGTGAGGATAGCTAGAAAAGAGATAAAATGCAAGTTGCATGTTACTAACCAATACATGCTAGTTTTAGTGTTGTATTGTTTAAGTTGAAAATCTACATAAACGTGCCAGTCAAAAAAGACAGAAGTCTCACTGACCTGCCAGGAGCCGAAGGTTTAACGAATCAATTGTTTTAGGAAGTCTATAAAGCCCCAGGAATTGTCAGTGTCTGAGTTTAAAATATTCACTGGAGGGTAAAGTTCTGAAAATATTTACAATGCTAGTACTGTGTTCAAAAGGTGTCCATAAAGAATTAATCAAAACTTAAATTGAAATTCCCAACTGTGTGGCCAAAACATTGTCCAAATGTTATATAGGAGTTGCAAAGCACAATCTTTATTAATACCATATTAGTCATTTCTGATAACAGTAATATAATTGTCCCAATAAGGCAATAGATTCTCCACTAAAATGCTTGTTGGTGATGGAGCTGAATATTATATACAAAAACACCACAAAGCAGCAGCCTAAAAGTTTTTTTTCACTTAAGCACTCTAAGGAGGTAATATAATAATAATAAACCTATACAGCCTTATCACATCACATGTCCTACAAACAGTCGTGGATTGAGTGAACACATTTTTATTTTTTTAATTATATTTTTTGAAGGAAAGCGATCCCCCAATCGACTAACACGTGGGTTCCTACTCACTGGAAGATAAACAGAGGCTTGTGGAGTAAGGAAACTTGCCTACGGTATCACACTGACCGGGAATCACCAGGTCCTCTCGCTTGCGAGGCGAGTGGTCTAACCAATATTCCAATGAGATAAGTAATGATATTACAAGCTTACTGTAAATCATTAAATAACGAAAAGAGATTTAACAGTTTTGTAAGATGCTAAGAAATTTGAATCGATGTTCCCTAAACCAAGCCAACTTAAGTGTCAATTTATTTCTTTAAATAATCTTTTTAGGATACATCATAGAAAACGAATTCAACTGTGCATATATACATACACGCACACACACAGATAATGGGCATGCCAAAGAGAGTGCATGCTTCAAATATTTATTTCAGCCTCCCTGATGTTGAAATTTAGGATGTCAAACCTTATTGAGAACACAGCCATCCTAATTCCCTGACTGTTCAGCGCCTTGGGATGCCCTCCTGAAATGAAAGGCGCTTTACAAATGTATTGTAAATTTTTGTATATCGTATTGCATAATAGACAAGGGTTTTTACAGTTCATACCATTTCTTGGCTTCATGTGAGATGCCAAAAGAACAGTTGATCTTCCAAGTGAACCTTCCTATGGAATCATTTATAATGGTTCAGAATTTCCTGTGTTATCCTTATTATAATTTTTTTGTGAGCTATTTACCAAGCAGTTATTTTTATGAATCATTTGGATTACCAAAGTGTAAATCCTTGGCAGAAGATATTGCATAGTTTCTGGATTCCATGACATTAGTGAATGCCAGAAAATAGTATTTAACAGTGGTGTACACAACCATTTATATTCAAAAAGTAGTTGACATTAAGAGTTGCCAGATAGTGTGTGGTTTCAATTCAGCACGTGGCAGAGATTATGGGATATCAATTTAAACTGAGACTTTTATTTGCCTAGCTCATTGTAGGTGCAACACAAATCTCCCCCTGAGACTGGAACAGCTGTTCCTGATTTCACTGTGCTATAGTATTTACAGTTCTTTCTTGCTCATATCGAGATTTGTTTTCCCTACGCACTCTCTTTGATCTGGAAAGTCAGCGAGGAGAGGAAAGATGTCTCAAATATAATGTTAAGAGATTGATTCCACAACTGAATGAAAATACCCTACACAGATTAAAGCACCAAGGGAATATCAACATGCTGAATCTTATATTCAGTACTTTCACAGTAATGTAGACAGACAGTTTGGTTAAGTTATATTTTTCAATTTCTATTTATTTAATGAAATAAAGACCCGAATTCCTTTTCACTTTTTTTTCATCATGACAACAATGTTCCACTTTTGTAGAACAGAATCTGATCAAAATAAATTCTGTGCATGTACAATGTTTGACTATCTGAATGTTGCGTTCAAACATTGAATGTATGAACATCCAATCCAGCGCCTTGGGACGTCCTCCCAACATGAAAACTAATTTATTGTTGCAATTGCTGAATATCTTACCACAGATAGCTTTCCTTATTCTTTGAACATAATTTGAGTAAATTCAAAATGAGAGAGCTATCTTAAAAAGAAGTTAAAATATTTTAGCTTTTAAAAGTCTGGTAGCAAATAGGTAATTGATCTGTTACCAACTCCTTAGAATAGAATCATATTTTGGGAAAATACCTCCTACAAATGCAGATGAAGGACTAGAAGGGCAACAGGGAGTTAAACTCATACAAGGTCAGGGACAATTGAGTACATGTAACAAGATGGGAGAGAGATTTGTAATGTCATCAGCCTAATCTTCTTTCTCATTTGCTCAACATCCAACACTAAGAGCTACGCTGAGAGCTCTGAATTAATAGAGGTCAGGCATAAGTGTTACAGTACCATGTTACTGCTCGTTAGAGCACTCACTCTCGAGGCAAGTGCTCTAGCCACTAAGCTGGAGTCCTATAGCTTAGTTGGAGCACTCTCCTCGCAAGCAAGAGGACCTGGGTTTAATTTCCGGGCCGGGCAAAACCTTCACTTTACAGTATATTGTGTGAAGCGCTTTGAGACGTCTCGAAGACACGATAAGGTGCTATATCAAATGCTTGATTACCAAAGCACTTGATGGTTTGCACAGTCGGAAAGCATAAACATAAAGACAGCGATCATTTCACGAAAGCATATAAATTGACTCAACGTAGCTGCCGTATAATTTAGCGTCGACACCCTTCACAACCTAATTGATGTGACCACAACGTAAGTTGAATGTGCTTTAATTTTGGTGGATCACAATCCTAAGCAATAACATAACAGTATACCTTCTACCACCCACTTAGCTAAATGGCAAAACTAGAACATCAATAAAGAACACGTTTGCTTTGAACTGGACTCGGTACGGTCCCATGAAAAGAGTGCATGACTCCCTTCATTACCATACTCTATCAGAGTCTCTGAATAAATATATCAAATATGACTGCATGACCATTCCCTCTTTACCAAGTCGGGAAGGAACCTGAACAAATACATTATAATGGAATGTGTGGCATTTCCTCCTTCCTGGTTTCTGTAAAGGACTCTTGAATAAACACATTGACAAAGTATGCATTAGAACACTGACATCCTTAACAAATAAGTGAATAAATAACATGTGACACTCTTTGCAGGCATTGGAATAAACATTCATAAAGAATGCCAGATATTGCCCTTTCCGTGCTTTTATTTCATCTTCAATAAATCTATTAATAAATAAATTTTATTTTGTTGTACACCTTGGGCACATATTCCAGGAATATGGAATGGAGTGACAGGAGATCGTGAAATTGAAATGCGTACCGTCATTACTGTCAGTATTCCTGCTACTCACAACCATTTGCAGAATGGAGGAAAAGGCCCATTTCGCTTATTTTGTGAAAGATCATTATTAAACACCGATTGTAAGATTGTGCAGTTGTGAAGGCACCATGCAATGAGAGTTCTTAAGACAGCAATAAGTCAGAGGTTTTATGACATTAGTTGGCAAAAGCTGTAAGCTATTGATAGAAAGGCCACAGGGAACTGCACATGGCTGAGAGCATGCACGTGGGGCTATTGTCAGGGCCTTGGGAATTAGCAAATGTCCACGTGCAAATTATTTTCTGTATAGCTGTGAGAACAGCGACTTCACAATTTAAAACGACTGTGAAAATGTTCTTTTTAATGAACAGCCCTGTCAATAATAGTTGGGACAAAAAGTAAATACATACAATATCAAATATATGTCCCTTTTTCTGTTATTTCAGTGCATCCAAAAGTATTCGGAGTTGACTTCCTCAATCCCATTTAAAATGTTATATACCTCTATAAGCACTCTCCTAACTTGCCTAATCACTTCTCATCCTTCATAGCTTATTCCTTTAACACCAAGGATCATCCATTTTGCTGTTCGCTGCACTGCTTAAAGGGCCTGGAGGCCCCTTATGTAACAGAGAGCAAAATAGGGAAAGGTTAATTAAAAAATTATGCTCAAGTATAATTAAAGAATTATACTCAATTCTTTAATTAATTATACCTGCCCGACATCCCCCGCCGGCCAGCCCCACCATCGGCGGCTGGGCCTTCAGCCTCTCTGCTCCCACCCTTTGGAACTCCATCCCACAGTCCCTTTCCCCCACTCCCTTCCTTGCCTCCTTACATTTGTACAGGTGCTATACAAATGCCATTTTGTATTGTAAGTAATACGCATCTTATTTTTAGTACAATGAACCCTTAGCTTTCCGTAGATTAATACTTTGCAAAATTACAATCTGTAAAATGCAATAAAGTTCCACACTCTACCAATGCATTAGTCATTGT